AAAGAATTATTGACCAAAATTGTGCAATTAGACTTTAATTTTGCTATGCAGTCAGAAGAAAAAAACTTTTTTTTTTTAACAGTGAGCGAGCATTGCTGACGATTTTTTTTTTTTTTTACATGAACGAACTAACGCAATGAAATTATAAAATGAAATAATTTTTGAACTGCCATTAATTTATATTTTTCGAGGCGAGCGTTTCAGCTGTTTTTTATTTATTAAACTTTTTTCAGTGGAGAGTTTCGTTTTACGGAAGAACGCATAAAGCATTATGCGTAATTCGAAAAACGTAAAATGGCATGGGGCGTACAAGTATTAAATGCGTAAAATGCTTAAATAGAAAATATGCACGAGTATGTTATGAGCTGATGCAAAATGTTATTTGCGTCAGCAAAAAGCATTCATTCCAGCCATTTGATAAACATTCTTTTGCTTGCGTCTGCGTAGTTAAAAAATAGCATTATATTACATATCCTATGTTATATCTACATTTACGTATATATGTAAGAGTAAATCTCAAAAATACCCACTTGAATGGTTACGAATTTTGTAAAGCCACAAACTAAGAAAGCACCAAAATGAAAAGAAAAGGCACGTAAATGCAAATTCATTTTTTTTATTTTTATTTTTTTGCGTTAGCAAAACACATATCTATAGCCCAAAACGTATCTTACCAGTATATTTTATTATATTCTAAAATAAATAAATCCCATTTAAAATAAAAAAAAAAAAGAAGAAAAAAAGCAAAAATGTGTTTTAATTAAAATATATTAACAAGAAAATGAAACAATTTTTATATAATTATTTTAAATATGAATATAGCTGACATTATGTCAGAAATATAAAAAGACTGTGTGCATGATAACCAACAAGGAAGAAAATGAGCGCGTTAAGAAAGATGTTGCATTGATATATTTTCATAATATATCTGTACCTTCCCGTTTTATTTAACGTATTTATTATATTATACGTATTTGTAACAAAAGAAAACAAGAAATCAGATCCGGGATCTGATTAGATATACAACTTATTATACCCTTTTTGTGTGTACTGTTTTATTTTAATATAAGATATCAAAAATGATAGCCTTATAAAGGTGACGTCGTTTCCACCCCCACCCCCGTTGTATATTTTTCTCCAATTTAAGGAAAGAAAATCAGATTTGCAAGTATTAAAGATATTTTTTTATTCAAGGGGAATACACGAATAACGACTTAGGCAGCATTGTACTACAGGAAGAGGAAGTTTTACAGCATCGCATATATTTCTACGTCCGTACGAACATATATACAGTATTGTCTTATGAGGAAAAGAAGAAAAGAGCGCGAGTTCCAAAACCATTTTTACGCGTAAAATAAAATAGATCACCAGTGAGCAAGCCCACAGCTACCCACCAGATAAGTAACAAACATTACTACTGATTTGTTAAAATGTATAATTTAAGCAAAATTTGTTTTTTAAGATGGAACGCTTCATGGACCTATAAGTAAATAAGAAATTTAATATATTAAATTTTTGCTACTACTATACGTTTAGCGCGTAGAACAGAACGGAATATATGTTTGGCCATGCTTTTGTTTTCGTCTCTTTTAATATATGATTGCTTGACTTGATTCTCAATCTCTTTCAATCTGTCTGTGCACTTTCACCCTCCTTCCACCTGCCTTCCACCCCCCTCAAACCATCTTTCGTGCAAAAATTGTTTTATACCCCAATGCTAAATTGCCTGTATAATTATGTGCAATCAAGTGTATGTTCTTTTCATGTAGAGAAAAAAAATTATATATTTCTTTTTTGTTAATGTTATAATTATTAATGTAGATTAAAGAGATATCACATGTCCCCGAGATGGAATGTTAGTAAATGGTTGGTGAAGGAAGAATATAAGTCGCAAAAGTTTAGTAAACCGTTTTATTTGACCAAATGGGGGAATTTCAAAACCGTTTACAACCAGTTTTCAGCCAACAGCGGAGCTTTTAATAAATTCTGCGACATGAACAAATTGCATGAGAACAACATTCATTTTAAAAAGTAGTTTATCGTTACGAAAGAGACCTTGCACAGTTTTTAATTAGAAAAAGTGTAAAAAAAAAAAAATAATAAAAAATATAAAAAAATAGAATGAGGCAGTTACGCATCTTCCCCCTATGCTTTCCTAACATTATGAGAAGCACAAGCCGTATGTGCATATTTATACATACACGCGGACACCGTGCAAATATAACACATTTTAACTTGGAGGGAGAAACCCATGTGGACAGAAAATACGCCCCCTTCGTTTTGTTACTCAAGTTTTTTTGTCTCTTTTGAATTTCATTTTACGTTTTATTTTCATTTGCCACCTTTCTTTTTATTTTTTATGTTTTTCTCACTACCAATTCGTTTCTATTGAGTAAACTTAAACTGTATGTTTCAGCTATTTCCTGAGTTTATTTTTCATGCACCTTTGCGCTCTATATTTCCCCAACACATGTGTATAAGCATAAGTATGTGTATCTGGAGAGACTTCCCCATATGTGTGTTTCTTTTTTCTTCTATCCTCTTCCCTCTATACTTAAAATATTTTTTCCAATAAATTTAATAGAATGCTGAAATAATGAGGTAATTCGTTTATTAAATTTAAGGGAATGCACATGTAGTCGAAGCTGTAAATTGTTTTATTCATAATTTCGTTAATTTCGGAGGAAGATGACTTGTTTAATTTGGGTGCCTACAAAGGGGACAAACAGATGCACGTGAGTGTGCAGACATATATTTATATATATAATATATATGTAAATGCTTATGTACATATGTATTTCTCGCGTGCGTTGCATCCACTTGTTATGCGTGTGACTGAAGGGAAAGTATTTCACGTATTCACTTTTTCAGCTAATTTTTTTGCTTAAATAAAAGAAAAAAATTGCTCCATATGACTCCTCTTTTTTTGCCCTCATCAGCTTTAAAAAATTTGCACAGTTTTTCGTTGCAGTCACATTTTTTGTTTGCAATTAATTAATCAGGGGTTTTACACACTAAATTTATTATTCCTGATTTGCTATTCTTAAAAGTGAGAAAGCTCCTCTTCCTATTTTTGTGTTTGCTTTTATGTGTGTTTTACGACATACGGTAGCCAGCGGAAAATTAGGGACATGTATAATTTCATGCAATAATTTTGCAATTTATATTTGACGAAGGGGAGGTTAGCTTTCGTTGCAGTGTCGCCTCTCTCGTTATGCCAGTTTGGTTGGCTTCTGAAAATTAGTGCCTCCCCATGCAAAACCCCT